ATGTAAGTGATTTTTGGAGATAAAACCTGCGGGTTTGTTGTTTGGAAAAGCTTGCGAGCTTTGTCCATTCCCTCTTCCACCTCCTTCGGAAATCCTGCGGGCTCTTTCCAATCTTCGTCTCGTCTCCTAATCTCTTTCTTCTCTCCATAGTAATCATTCCATTGTATCCTTCTTCTCTTGGAAAGCAACTTTAGGTGTCTTGTAAGAGTCATTTGTAAGAGTCATTTGAGTCGTTTGTAAGTGTCCAAGTTATTAGTTTTTATAATATTAAAATTGTGTTTTGTTTTGTTTAATTTATCTAATTATTATAAGTTTTGTAAGTTTCTTTTATTCTTAGAAAGGTAATCTCTTTTGTGATCAAAAATTTGGGTCCCTCTCCCAAATTTTTGATTGCATCACTAAGATCGCCATCTAGAGTACCAATCGATCATCTCTGATTTTCTATCACCCAACCTTCATTAGAACCAAAGAGTTTATCATTTCAACACAAAAAGGTGGACTATTATCACCAATTTCATATGGGCATGTCTAATCTTTAGAATTTTTTTTTTAATTTCCATAACTCCCATAGAACTCTAATTTGCAAGTAAGTTAGAGCATTAGATTGCTCTAAAAAAACCAAATATTATGTTACAAAGATTGTGACCTGTCATCACTCTTATCTGACTGCCCTAAATTAAGTTTTACACAAAAAAAGTAATGAATTCAAACAATATAATCATAGAATTTGACTTGCCCAGTTGGTTGGACTCATGACATCGAAACCATCAAAAAGACACCCTATGCTCACAAGTGGGACACTTCACCAACTAGCACTAAACCACTCGTAAGTCACTACCACCTGGTTCAGCCAACAGGCTAGATCATATGGCAACTTTCAAGATTAAGGGATTAATTTGAACCATTTTATATGAAAGCTAACTTGAAAAATTCTATACATTAAAGAGATATGGAGTGAAAGGGAAATCTATAGATCGCAAAAAATTAAAGAGCCCTAATCACTTGGAGTGCTACCCGACTGTCTTTGGTTTCACTTATCACTTGGAGTGCTACCCGATCGCACCGTGGAAGTAAATACGATGCGTATGTTTTTCTTTTGGATTTTTTTTTCGTTTTTCGACGGACACGCGTATCCGATAGGCGTGCCCTTTTGAAATTAAATAGTATTTTAATTGGATACAGCTTTGTTGTATCCGACACGTATCGATACCGTATCAGACACGCATCCATGTTCGACATGCATCGGATACAACACGCCTTCATAAGTAGGTGTATCGGTGCAACATAGCTCCAATCTCCATGGAAGGACCAATACAACCATATTCAGTAGCCTCTACAACATTCCTGCATAACTTCAACGCCTTTAGGTCGTGTCACCATTGAATTCAAAAGGAGGACCATTACCATTGCCCTCAATCACCCTCATGACCTTCTATCAATGCCTCATCATGCCTATAGGTCTTTACCATCTCCATCTCTAAGTAATAACCAACCTAATCATCTTTAATGGGCTCAAGAACTTTCTTGCACTACTTCATCTGCCACCAGAAGGTCAAGTCATCTTCACCTCTAAAAAGAGAATTAATCTATGATGCACCGACACACCTCCTTAAGAGAGAATACAGTGTCGAGCACATGTCGGACACTGACACGTGCCCGACACGGCTGGACACGTGTCGGACATGAAAGACACATGTCCGATTAAAATAATGTTTAAATTTAACTCGACATAGCTGAGACATGTTTCGGACACGACTGGGACACGCATGTCCTAACTTTTTATGATTAAATTATTTTAATTACAAATATAGGATATCCAATGAACTATTATGAGAGATAACTAGAGAAGTATAGAAGTAAATATATACATTCTTTGTGATTTAGATTGGAGGATAAAAAAATATTATGGGAGAGATCTAGCGACCTAGAGAAGTAAATAGATACAAAGAAGAACCAACTTTCATTATATGATATCCAATGAACTATTGCAAATCTTTCTCTTGATGAACCAGAGTTGGAAACAATGATATTCAATGATGATGATATTGAAGGTCAAATACAAACCTCTGAAGTTAATCCTAGTAGTTGAAGCTTGAATGCTTGATGTTTTAGTAAGTGGTTATTTGTAGGGGTGTCAATTTCGGGTCACGGGTCGGGTTCGGGTCGGACCCGGAACTGACCCGGGGTTCAAACGGGTCGACCCTAACCCGACCCGGTATGGTAAACGGGTCGGAAATGCGAACCCGGACCCGACCCGGCGGGTTGCCGGGTTGACCCGACCCGACCCGGGAAATCGGGTCGGGTCCAACCCGGATTTTTCGGGTCGGGTCCAACCCGGATTTTTCGGGTCGGGTCCAACCCGGATTTTTCGGGTCGGGTCCAACCCGGATTTTTCGGGTCGGGTCCTGGTCGGGTTTTCGTGTCGTGTCAAATATTGACACCCCTAGTTATTTGCTTTTATTTTTATGGTTGTACTAATTAAATATTTTATATTATAAGCTAGACAAGTTATCATGTCATTCAATTATTATTGTTTGTCACTTTTAATATGATGTTTCATTAATATCTATATACTATATTAAAAAAATGTAATGCCGTGTCCGCGCCATATTTGTGTCCTACATTTTCAAAAAATATCGTGTCTGTGTCGTGTCGTGTCGTGCCCGTGTCGCCATGTCCATGCATCATAGGGATTAATGCAATCACCACCATCTACCTAATTTACATCATTAGGTCATCAACACAAAGGATACTAGCAACATCTAAAATTCACTTGTATTTATTGACGCCTTCTTTGAGTTTGGGGAAGGATGGCCTACTATAACATTAGTGGAATATAAATCAATTGAGTAAAACCTCGTGATTTTTCTTTTTTTTAATTATTCAAATAAAAGAAATCCATGTCTCCTACTCGAAATACTTTATTTTATTTTTTTATTTTATTTTTTATTTTGTATAACATTAGTATTTTATTTTTATAGTTTGGGGAAGAATGTCATTTGCAGCTGAGGAGATCAAATCCTCATCTCCATCAATTTATCCTCTTGCAAACAATAATAAGTACTATGAATTTATGAGTAAAGAATTACTACATAGAATGCAAATTTTGCAATTCTAGCATTACAAGAGCAACTAGGGAAACCACCCAGCTCTTCACATACTAAGAGTATCAGAGTATGCAACACGAAATGACATACCAATGTATCCAAACCAGTCATCTTAAGCTCATTTTCCAACACAGACTCATCTCGAACAAGTACGACATCTCCCACCTACAACAAAGGTATAATACAATAGAAAAGTTTTATTAGGATGCCATGATAAAATAAGTAGCAAGTGCATTAATAAGAGGTTAAGAGTACCATGAATTGATATCCAGGTTCATCAACCTTCTTTGACTACGGAAATCAGTTTCATGCATATTAGTTATCTCAGAGATGTAGGAGAAAACCAGAAGATCTGATTTAAGCTAAAAATGCATTAAGTTCAATCATTGCCGGGTTTCATACCAATTCTAAAGTATGTATGTATCGCGTAAGTCCAAAAGCATTTTACAAGATATAATACAAAATTTTCTGAAGCTAAATGCAAAATCTCTTAACAGAATGACCATTACTTATAGTAATCACAAATTAATGGCTAAACAAGATCAGGAACCAGTTACCCATCAACCAAAAGCTTATATCCGAAATGAGTATGCAGGGAATAGCATTGCTACCCACATTCACCATATGGCATCTTAAAGAATTTAGGTTAAAAATAATAATATCACTAGAAAATAAAACTAATCATAGAACCACATACCTGATACACATCCTCCAGAAGAAACTTTTCAGCATCTCCAGAGAGAAAATTTGGTCTCACCTCGACCAACGCTACCACCCACTGAAATCAACTATTAGGAAGGTAAGATCATAAAAACAGACTATCATCATCAACTAACAATGCAAGAATCAAAGACAGGAAAAATCTCTCTTTATCTTCAATAGAATCTTCCAAACATCCTACAACAATTTGAAACGAAAATCGCGGGCATACCAAAACAATTTAAAACTAACCGATCTCGTGTCAATCCACAGCTGTGAGACAAAACCCAAGCTACAAGCAGACTCCATGCTGATCACCTGCTTCGCTAGCAAATTCGACCTCCTCATCACCCGCCTTCCACCTCTATCACAAGACTTACCAACCACAATTCCTTCCTTCACTGAAGACGAAGATGTTTCATCAAAACCTTCGGACCTCAACTCTTCCTCCATAGAACCCGCTCTGGCGTTCTCCTCCTTCTCAAGCTCCCTCTTTAACTCGAGAAAATCGAACGTAGTGAACACCGGAGCTCCATTCCCATTCCTCTCTTTCTCGCCTCTGATACTTGGCCTCAAACCTGAAAATTCTTTAAGAGATTCAAACGTGCTTGGGTTTTCATCACTGGAGCTGCCGCTGTTCTCCGCCGAACTTGATATAGATGAAGATGAGCAAAGAAATCCCCCACGATTTAATTCAGGGCGCTCCCCCTTGTTACTTATCGGAATGCTGTAACCGTTCCTATTGTCAAGCGTTAGAGGACTTGGAATGAGCGAATGGTTTACTCGGGTATACCCATTGGCAATTCCAAATTGATGGTTTTTTACAAATCTACGCCATGGATGGGGACAGCAGAGTGCGAAACGTAGAGCTCGGACATTGAAATCGCCGGGAAGAGTAGAGGGCGCGGCGTAATCGAGCATCGAGCTAAAACCCTAGGGCATGGAATTCAACGGCTCGTGTACTTCTGTGCTTCAGTTTGAGCAAAGCCGCATATTCAGACCAAATCAGCCATGCAATTTTTTTGGGACATTTAGGCCATTTAAGGCAAACTCATACACACAACGCATACATATGGACTCGAACCTTGGACCTCTTAGTTGGAAGCCTAAGCTCTCAACCAATAGGTCAAGGGGAGTTGTGTAGCCATGCAATTTCAAGCCTATTCATTAAATAATCTTATCTATTTATATTATTGAACCTTTTTTTAATGCAAAAAAAAAAAAAACAACAACTTGATAAGTCTAAGGTTTTGTTTGGTAGCACCCAATATTTGATTTAAGTATTATTTCTTAAATCCTAAGGGCCTAAATCTTGAAATTTGTTTGATAACATTGATGATAAATTTTATTAAATCTCATGTGGCTGCTTGGCTATAAAGCGGATTTAACGAGCAGATTATTCCTCTCGAGCCAATGAATTTCTTAAATCCGACAAAAAAATAGGATTTCGGTAATACGGGATTTAGCACAAAAAGGCGGAATTTTCTGCCTAGCTTTTATTTGCTTTGAAATTTGATTTTGCTTTGTAGGATGTTTGGCCCCATCAACATCATTTGACTGCCCCTATTCGATCACCATTGTATAATTGTCGTTGTTCAATTGTCATTACATGTATATTATCATCTGACTACCATCGTTCAATTATCATAACTTGAGCATTATCTTCCCATCTTTAATGTTCTACTTACATCATTCAAATATTATCATCACCCTTCAATACTTTCCGCCATACAAGATGCAGCTAGTGTTTTAATTGCTATAAATATATTTTCGTCAATTAAGGAGAAATCAAATTTTTGTTACCTATATTTACCTAATGGACCATTTCATTTGAGCCAGATCCAACTATTTTTTTTTTCTTACAAAAATTTTCAGGAAAAAATCTTGGTATTTTTGTTATCTATGTTTACATAGTGATCATTCCTATTATTTTCTTGTTTCTTTCTCATAATATTTCAAAATTTTCTATGATGAAAAATTATTTTTTACAATCAAAATAGTTATATTACTTTTCTCAAAGTAACTCAACAAGCTTTATAAAAAACTGTAATCATTGTTATAATGATAATTATAAAATTGCTTAATTACAGACTCTCTTCAAAAATAATAAAGGATAAATATCTAATTGAGATATACTTTGTTTGGGACGACTTTTCTATTTCTTCTTAAAGCGACTTTCTAATAAATAAAAATTATTTTTTAACTAAAACACTGCTTTAAGAAACAAAAAAAAATCGTCACAAATAAATTCATAATCAGATAGGTGGATAAGCATGTGAATCACCCACGGTTCTTTCAGCAGAGAATAGACAATAGAGCGTTCAGCTTCCTCTTTCCTTTAAAAAAAATTAAAAATATATAAAAATAATAATAATAAAAGCTTCATCTTCTCTTTTTAAATAAATCATCTTATTAATTTATTATATTACGCTCTTTCCATTCGAATATTATATGTAAAATCATTATATTTTTCGTAAACATGCCTTTGTCTATGAAATTAAAATTTTACAATAATACTTTCAATGAATTGTTGATTTTTTTTTTCAATTTCAACTTCGTCCAAAAAATTTCTACCACAATAATAAATTGTTCAATTATTAAATTGGTTATAACCCTTGATACATCATAAAAAATCGTCTTGATTGAGCATGAATCTTGAGGTATATTCAATTTGCAATTTTCCAAATTTAAAATCGGGACCATCAAGACTCTAATTTTAGCAAATTTATAGTCAAATTGAACATCTTAGTAAGATGAATCCAACGACACCAAAATCAGTCCAATCCGAGCCTAAATGGGCTCAAATAAAGGGCTTAATTTTGACATCATTAAGGTACTTAAATGATTGATGAACGCCCCATGATTGAGAGAATCACAATGGGTTGTCCAATGGAGCATTCCAAATTTGTCATGGATCTTCTTTATATTTGCAGGGCATGTAACTATCAAATTTGATAAATAGTCTCCCTCTTCCCACATGAAAAGTGCTGAGACTTTTCGAGGCTTAAACCCTATGAAATAGCCCGTATTTCGACTTTGTCGAATTCTTTCTGGAGTCATTATAACTTCAAATCGTAAATCGTGTTTGCCATAATATTTTGATTGTACGTACTATTTTACTTGGGAGAGAGAAATTTGAAGCTTAGATTTGGAGACCACGAAGCAATTTTTGTCAGTCGGGCTAGTTGAGAGATTTGATTGTCTCACTGTAAAGAAGTCATATCCTATTTTTATTTCAAAAATTTTATTTTTTTTGTATTTTTTCTCTCAAATTTGTGTTTCCGTTACCGAAAAACATGAATAACTTTATATTGACAAAACTTTCACCGCATAACCTTTTTTATGTTATAGAGATAATGATTATGAGGATTTTAAATATTTATTTAAGATTTTTCACTGGGTAATTTTAAAAATACAACGATTTTTGTCTACCCAGAAATTTATTTTAACATCTAAAAATAATAGTGTAATACAATAAAAATCTTAAAATATTGTTTTATACAATTCCTCATATTTTGGTAATTTTTTAAAAAATATGCATTTTTGCATAATAAGATTCTTTGTTGTATACTGTATGACATTTTGGGCATTTTTTAAATTAAGCTCAATTATATTTTATTTGTTGCAATGCATTAAAAATGAATGTGGATATATTATTGAGATTATTGTTATAATATTATGATAATAATGTGCGTGTAAAAGACAAGTAAAGACTGGTTGACTTGTTGGTTGGAGACCGATTGATCTATACAGGATAGTGAGCCGATGGGATTTCCTTTAAATACTGGGATTTGATATTATCATCTACTTATTCATGTGTTACTGATTGGGAGTTAGAAGGATATGATTACTGTGCCGACGGGCAAAGAGTGAAGACTCTATTTACTGAGCCAATAATTTATTAATATTGATACAATACTGAAAAATACCGTGATAGTCAAGAATTTTTGCTTTTTTAGTGTGACCACTGAAATGCATATTTTTAATGTATTGTTCTTATTATTGTATGAATTTATTATTATTGCACGAATTTACTATTATTACATTATTCTACTGCTCATGTCACTTGATTGTTATTATTACTGATATATATACTGATACAATTTGATACTACTATTCATTATACTAATATTAAGCATTTGATATACTGAGCACGTGATATAGAATAACTGTATAGCATATGCACATTCCAATATGTTTTTACTGTATTTATTCAATTTCAATGGTCTTTATTAAAGTTTTGATTGGATGCTTCATAAGATTTTTTTATTGATTGATATTACATATACGACACTTACTTTATAGATTTGACACTTGTACTTATTTACTGCTTTATAGGCTTCAGTGTTGTAGTAATTTATTATTTATATATTTTACTACCAATGCATATTAATTTTACTATTTCTGCATTGATTTAATAATCACATGAATGTAGCTGTTATGATTTGACTGTTGGCATGCATATTACTCTTTTATCGTACTTTGAATTCAGTTATAGATTATGGTGACCTGCTAGGCTTTTTAAGCTCATTATATATGGTTAAATAATTTTAGGTCAGGATAAGGGAGCAGGAGTGTGAGACTGGTCAATATTCTTTAGGTTATGTTTCTTTTTTTTTTTTGTACTCAAGACATATTAGTTATGATTTGATTGTGTAGATCATAAGTAGTGTATATGATTTTTGGGAATGAATATAGATGTGTATATTTATGTTTTAAATTATAAAATATATTATTGTTGCAGGTTAGAATATAAGTGGCGATAGAGTTTTAATCGTTCGTCTTAGTGTTACACGGATATCAACTTACACATAGAGAACACAAGATTTTTTACGTGGAAAACCCTTGAAAGGGGAAAACCCACGGGGCCTAGCCCAGTTGAAAAGATTTTACTAGTACTTGAGTTGGTTACAATGAGCTGACTCGTCTCTAGGGAAGATCGGATTACAAATAGCAATTGTACAATAGAAATTTGGGTGTCATCGAGATGATCTGACAGAGCTTCGGGCCTCAGAGGATGGTCTGACAGAAATTCGGGCCTTAGATGATGACCTGGCGAAGATGAGGGCTTCTAACGGCGGTCGGACGAAAGTGAAGGCCTCAAGTGGTGGACCAATGGAGCAACGGCTTTAGGCGGTGGTCTAACGGAGCAGAGGGTGTTAGGTGGTGGTCCGACGGAGCAACGACATCAGGCGGTGGTCCGGTGGAGCACAGAGCGTTAGGTGGTGGTTCGGCGAAGCAACGGCGTTAGGCGGTGGTCCGGCTAAGCATAGGGCATCAGGTGGTGGTTCAGCGGAGCAATGGTGTTAGGTGGTGGTCCGGCGAAGCACAGGACGTCAGGTGGTGGTCTGGCGGTACAACGACGTTAGGCGGTGGTCCGGCGAAGCACAGGACGTCAGGTGGTGGTTCGGCGGTACAACGATGTTAGGCGGTGGTCTGACGAAGCACAGGGCGTCAGGTGGTGGTCCGGCGGAGCAACGGCATCAACCGGTGGTCCGGCGGACGTCCGGCGTTGGTGGAGCAACGGTGGTTCATCGGAACTCCGGTGGTGGTCCGGCGAAACTTCGACGGTGGTTGAGGAGGCAAGGAAGCAAGGGCGATCTCCGATCCCTCTCATTTTTCCTTAGGCTTAGGGGTCCTCTTTTAAGAGGAGTGGGAGCTCTATTTATAAATTTTGGGAATGGCATGACCCGTAAATAGGTGGAGGATCAAGGGTAAGTTGGGAGTGGTTGGATGGACGGCCGATCTTGAATCCCTTGATCATGAACTGCTTGATGGACATTTGAATGTCGTAGTGATGTCGGAATTCAGTGATCTTGAGCTCGTTGGATTCGTCTCTTCGAGTCGCTCGATTTGACTATAAGTTTGTTATGTTTGAAAGCTGTTTGATAATCCAAATTGTGGTTTGAACCTTCCAGCAGTGCTTCTGGTCCTTGATTTGGACCCATTTGGGCTCGGATTGGGTCGAATTAGGAGTCGTTGGGTTCGTATTTCTGAGACGCTTAGTTTAACTGTAAGTTTGCTGAAATCGGAGTTCAAATGCTCCTGATTTTAATTTCGGAAGTTTCCAACTTGATTTTGCTTTGAGATTCGTGCCCGCTCAAGATAATTTTTCGAATAATGTATCAATTATATTATTTATTACTGATATATTATATTATATAGCTCTAGTCATTATTTATTAAAAGAGTAAAAGAATAATTCTTTCAAATTAAATTTGGAGGCATCACACCCTGGGCTAGAGACTCAAGAGAACTCTCAGCCTTGAAGAATCTCGGAGCTCCACCCTGACACTACCACCGACGAATCTGTACCATCTAGCCGCCACAGTTAGACCTCTACCCGACCATCCCCATCGAGCCTCTATAGAGCCTTCGTCCTACCTCCATCACCGGCTAACTATGATCTCTCCAACAATCGTCGCTTATAGACTACACCACTACAGGAAATCCAGCTAGTACAGGCGGTTTTTACCGGCGGTTTACTTGGTTTTTCGAGCTCGAGCTCGGATTTTGAGCTCGACTCGAGTTCGAGCTCGAGCTCGGTATTTGAAAGTCGAGCTCGACTTGAACACTGCCTGGCTCGAGCTCGACTTGACTCGTTTGCACCCCTAAGTAGACCTAATATAATATTTAGTGTATGTCTCGATACTAGATTTCAGGCTGATCTAAAAGAATCCCACATGATCACTTTTAAAAGAATCCTTAAAAACCTATTAGGCACCCAAAACCTAGATATCTGGTACCCTAAAAGTAGATCATCCTTTGAGATTACAGGATATTAGAACTCTAGCTTTGCAGGATATAGGGTAGATAAGAAAAGTACATCAAGAACCTGCTTGTTTATAGGTTAATCATTAGTTTTTTGGTTTAATAGAAAGTAAAATTCAGTAGCCCTATCCACCGCTAAGGTAGAATATATTATTGTTAGAAACTATATTGCTTAAGTCCTATGGCTAAAGCAACAAATCTTAGATCTTGAACTGTCTGTAGGCACAATTCTTATCATGTGTGGTAATACTAGTGCCATTTACATATCTAAAAATTTAATTCAACACTCTTGCACAAAGCATGTAAATATTATGCATCATTTTATAAGAGATCATATAACTAAGAGAGATATAGAACTATACTATATATCTACTAGAGACCAATTGGTAGACATCTTTATCAAACCCTTGGCTTTTAAAACTTATAGTGCATTGAGGATAAGACTAGGTGTCATAAATATTCCTGCTGGAATCAGGATGATTCGAAAATTGAAAACATGAATGTTATGTATATGTATTTTTCTATAGTATTTTTTAGTGTTTTTGTTCATATTTTGTTATTTGTGTTTGTACTTCTTTATTTTATTTTATTTTCCTTTTATGAAGTTTTCCTTATCATCACACATAAAATTTTAAAATTGCTCACATCAAATTGTATGATTCAATATCGTACTATACGATATTCACAAAGTATCACATCACTGCTCACAACACATCCAATGTCTCTGATCGATCAATTATTGGTGATCATACTATATGATCCAAGTGGCACCAGGTGTTGGATTAATTGAATTCGATCGGTACAATATTAAATATTGTATCGTACTATACAAGCACATGCTCATATAAGACGATATGACTAGTCAACGATCGTTCAAACTGATACCTCAAGATAACCGTCACTATACCAATTGTCCAGTACGATTATGATCGTTCTGTACAATAAGACCACTTTTTTTACTAATCAGACTGGACTAATTGAATGCACCCAATTGTACAATATAATACCATATCGTACTGTACGATAAGAACAAATTCTATTCATTTCTCCGTAAGATCTTAGTCCTTGAAATGGTTGGTGAAAAACGATCAAGAGCACATGAAATGCTTGTTGTTATAAATCTAGACTCAAGTCATATGATTTTGATGATGATAAATATTATTGGATTCCTTACTATGCCATCTTATGTTAATTGCTATTATTGCATATAAGTTTTTCTAATGCACTAACATTTTAGGTCCACCATACACCACCAGCTTGTTCTCCAGTTTGAGATCTATACAAATAACAAAACAAACAATACGCTGCATCCTTTGCTATACTATACTCCAACCAAGATTTGTGATCATCAAACCATGCAGAATTAAATTTGCGAAATCTATCACCAAATTGAGTACACGGGAATTCATGATCACGCGGTTGATAAGGTCCTTTTAACAAATAATGTTGCCTGATACTATCCCTCTCGTTAGGATGATAATCTAAAATTTTTTTCCTCAATCCTGGATCAGCGGGGATATCCGAAAAATTAATTTTTACACGGGTATGTTTGCTTTGTGTATTGTCTTCTTCACATAATGTTTTGTAGTCATCTTCTACAACTTTTCTTTTGAAATATCTATCCATGCTAAATTAAATGAAAAAAATATTATCAATTATCATAATAAAAATCATTATTCACAATATTAACATGAAATCCTTATTCACAATATTAACATGTTACATGCCTCATATAATCATATAAAAATGGTAATACCTGTTGGCTGCAGAGTAATGAGTAATCAATCAAAATAAATTCCCCCTCCGATGCGCGTTGTAGAATTTATCTAAAAAAAACTATAAATTTAACTCCATTTGAGGCCTACTCGACGTCAAAAAAATAAAAATACAGTCGTAACAGTCCTAGACTCCAAGAAGATCCAAAAATACATGAATAAAAATACTAACAAAAAAATAAATGGAGAGGAGAGAGCGAGAGAAAGGATTGCCTGTGCCTCTTGCGGCCGGCGGACATTATTTGTGAACGGGCGGCCGGCGGACGCTGAGAGAAAGGGCTGTAGCATAAAAAAAAAAAGACGGTCTGCCTACTGCCTGTGCCTCTTGCAGTCTTGCGCCTCTGTTAACTTCACCGGAATAGGAAAAGCCGAATAAGGCAAGGCAAAAGACGGAAACAAAAAGACGGTCTTTCGCTTCCTAGTAAAGTAGTAATTATTTATTTAATGTATAGACACCAGAATAGGAATAGGAATAGCCTAATATTACATTACTAATAGGAATAGCCGAATTATATATCTATTTAATGTATAGAGACCGGAACAAATCCAGTGGGGGCCACTGCCCCCATGGCCCCCACACTGCCTCCGCCCATGCTTGTCAATGAATTATACCTTATTTAATCATTATTTGTTGCACATGGTAGTAACCCATGACTTCAAGAAGATCCATAATACTATATAATTTCCCTTCATTACCTCATCATATAAAATACCATACACAAATATATTCCTCATATTATTTTATCATCTCAATCATATATGCACCATATTCCCACAATCTCAATATCATCATTACAACATTTATCTTGAAGATCTTTACGAGCATACTAATTCAACATTCCTTTAATCTCTATTGAATTTATAAGCTTTGACCTTAGAATCCCTATCAACACTTTACTCGAGCTCATCTTATTCCTTTTAGGCATCTATCTATTATCCAAAATGACTCTTACATAAAAATACATATATCTAAGTATCCTTCATATTTGAGACATTTATGAACACAATCAAGTTTCAAAAGTTATATATGAGTTCCCTAAATACACCATGGAAATAATCGTCATCATTTCTTCAATGTAACTATTAGCATGATTTATGACACTCACTTAGGCTTCGTTTGGGAAACCTTTAGATTACAAGTTTTTTCCTGCTTTTAAGAGATTTTTGTACTAAAAAATAGCTTTGCAAAGCAGTAAGAAAATTATCCCAAATGAAATCTTAATCATCAACAAACTCATCTCTAAACTCCCAACTACTATCCATACAACTACAATAATGCTAATTACAAGATCAAAGCATTAATATACTATTTAGGCACAAGCCATGTGAATTGACCAACAATTATAACCAATACACAAGTAATGATCAAATTAGCATATAAACATGAGAAAAATAATAAAAACCTATTACAAACATGAAGAGAAATATATTTTTTAAATATTATTGATACTCTTGTATTTAAATTATTAAATTTTATCTAATTTATATATTATTAATATTTTTGAATAAATTGAGCAATTAGTTAACATTTCACATTAAGGGGAACTCAAATTTTAATTGCTACTCAACTTACTTATAAATTTTATATAAAAAAATTATATACATACCATATATTTTTTATATATTTATATATCCATTATCAATTATTATTATTATTATTATTATTATTGAAGCAAATAAACTTATAAACACGTGTTTGGCTTTGGATGCCATCGCAGCCAGAGCCAACCTACCTTCACCAAAATTACGAGCAGTGCCAATCATCCCGGTAGCGGACCTTGCAGCTTTACGTTAAACACACATATTGACCGCCACGTGTCGATCGAGTGACCGTTCTCGGAAGAAGCTTCGCCCGTCGGCTACATAAGACTGCCGGAGTTTCCCACAGAGAAGTTCCAATATCGATCACCAGTTTCCTCTGATCAAATCGACGCTCTTCTCCTAAAGGTCAGTAGAAACCCTACCCAGTCGTTTCACTTGTGTCTCTGATTTCACTTGTCTGACTTTCTTTACTTTTCTATCTTGATTTTGATTGGAAGGGGGCCTTCGTTTGTGGTTTTTGCTTTTATAGCTTTGTTTTTTGAATCTGATCATGCCATGCAATTCCTTGACACAGTCTATTTTACCTTTAATTTATGATTCCTAGGGTTTGGCTTCTAATTTTTTTAGCTATGGATCTTTAAGGGAGAACTAGTATACCTAATTAAGACAAAAGGGTTTCTCTTATGGATTCGGCAAGAGCGTCCTTTTGTAAGTATACTTTGGGTGCCAGGGGTTTGCAGTGTGAGGATAGGAAACTGTTAGATTTCTGTGGGAAGAGATAAGTGCATTTTAGACTCTAATTTGGTGGTATTTTTTAATTTTGCTTTGAGGATCAATATGGTTAGACTACGGGATTCACAAAGAACTTGTTAATGGAATGGTTTGCAGTCACCAAAGGAGGAGCTTGGGAGACTTTATATGCATTTTTATCTCGAGAAATATGTATTTTTGTTCCACCTGTGTGCATATTGTTTACATTTTAGAGGGATGAAATGAAAGTTTAGTTTCTTGTAACTTCATATGCCTCTTTTACCGCTAACCTATACATGTTTTTTTTTTCTTTTACTTATTTTTGTACCATTCTTTGTAATGTTATGTGCATGTTATTTCACTCATCCATGTGGTTTGTTGAACCTCGCCATTTAACTTAATTGTTGCGAGTTTAGTAGTTTTATTTGCTTCCTCTTCCATTTTGTGGACTATTTAAGAAGCCAAGAGCTTTTGTGGGCTTATCTTTTTCCTTCTACGCCTAATAAATTGTTTATTGATATAACTGATTATATATATATATAAACTCTTATCGATTAATATATTAATTACATTTGTTTTTACTAGGGGTGTCAATTATTGACCCAACCCGATAACCCGACCCAAACGCGACCCGAAAAATCCGGGTTCGGGTCGACCCGTTTAACAAACGGGTCGGATCCGGGTCTCAACTTTTGACCCGTTTAAAAAACGGTTCGGGTCCGGGTCAACCCGGTAACCCGAAATTGACCCGTTAATCCGCTCATTTTTTATTTTTCCCGCTTCGGATTGGGCTAGTCGGTCACATCGCGTCGTCGCCTGCCTAGTCGGTCACGCCGTCTGGCACTCTGGCCGCGTCAAC